AAAGTCAACAAATCTGGGTTTTAGGGTTGTGAGAGAAAGTGGGTGCAAGTGAGTGAACTAGCTCCAGACCAACACCAAGGTTCAACCTTAAGGCCAAGCAGTCTTATGTGGATTCCCCTTAAGCTTCCTCTATAGTGACCCCACCTACTAAGTGTTGGAGGTTAGGACCGGTATATGAAACTTCAAATTGGGCACAAAAAAGTTTAGATTTTCTGAAGGTGAGGGTTCCTTTTCTAGTTTTCTTAGAATAGTCAACAAAAAAATCCTATGGCTAGACCTTAGATCACTAAAGAGGAAAAACTAAACCTCAACCAAAAGTGAGGTCAACATGGGTAAACTTGTAAGTTTAAAAAAGTTTTATAAGAGGTGTTTGATCTCTATTAAAAGGATTGAACTTTACTTAACCATTGGTCGGGGGTTCCAAATTAATGCATTTATGAGGCTCCCAATCCATTCCTTTCACCTTTTTATCATCCAACCTCTTATCTCTTCCAATACCCAACAATTCTAATAATTACCATTTTACCCTTTCTAGAAAATATGAATGGGTTACTAACCCTCTTTATCCCTCGTGTTTCGATCATTTTAGTGAACTAATTATCATTATTTAATACCTCTCTGATTAATCCTAAAAAATAATTAAATTAGAGCTAGATTACAAAATTCCAAAATTACCTTTATATCTCTCGAGTTTGCACACCCATAACTCTTATATTTTTATTCAAATGTTCATGAAACTTTGCTAACCTATTACTCATGGGCTGATTAAGATAACATAGGAAAAATTATATTTTTCAATTTTTTTATTATTTTCTATAATTATTTAAACCCGTAATTCTAATGATAATTGCTTTAATCACCCAAAACATGTTCTCTATCCTTAGAAAAATTAAATAATTTTACATAAATTCAAAGGACCAATCATGACCATTTTCATAATTTTTTGATTTATATTTTAATTTGTATAACTTTTAATTGATTTTGATAAGAAAATAAATATAAAAATACATTTTTTATTTTTAAATAAAGTTTCATTGTTATTTAATTCCTCTAAACTTACTAAACTCACAAAACTTCATTTCATATATTTTCTGGCTTATATTTAATTTTTTATAATTATTTTAATTAATCAGAGGTATTTACCATAGAAAATTAGGTCTTTTGGTTGTAGTGGTGTTCTCTAATCATGAAAAAAATCAGAAAACATCCCTAGGCTCATGAAGAATGAGCCTTGAAAATTTCATTCCATTATGTTTAATATTTAATAATTTATGATTAAAATAATCTTTGGAGTGTTTAATTAATTTAAAATTAAATATAAAATAATTATTTTTAATTTTGAGTTCTCTCCTGAGTTTACTGAGCACAAGGCTAATTTTCTTTTATTTTTTAGTTTTTTTACACCAAGCTATGATTTTTTGAAGTAATATTTCATTTTTTGAATTTAGTTAGATAAAAAATCATGTATTTTCTTACTTAATTATGCAGCATCCGACTCATCCTCGGCATCTCCGAACTTTCACGCAATGCCTCCCCATTGGTTGCACTTTTCATGTGTCTTGCCCTATCACTTGTAGCCTTGTATCCCACCGACCTGCCATATGAACTGATCCTTGTCATCCGTTTTAACTACATAAAAATGGATGACATCCGGTCATTATCTCAAATGAATCATAACCTAAGAACTGCTCACACACTATAGCTAAGATCCCTCAATACTTAACCAAATCAGGTACGGTTTATTCCTATAGCTTCATCTAAGTGAGATAAAAACATTTATACGGCTATTTGGACATGAATTGTTCACTCTATTCACAAAAGAACAAAACTGAGAAAAAATTAAGGATTTTGAGCTTATACTTTTGCCCAAGAGGTGAGGTCTCGATTGGGTTGGTTGAGAAGCTTCGCCTTGAGTCCACGAACCTCTTCCAAGTCTTAGTTTCCTTTGTGGTTGGGTTTAGGTATGAACTAGACCAAATGGTGGATCATTTTGGTCTAACACTATGTTAGAGCCCACAAGAGAGAGGAATTTTGATTTGGGGAAGTGATTTTAGAGCATGGGGAAGTTTTTAGAACAATTAATTTGCATTTTTGGTGGAGTTGATGAAATGACCAAAAATGTCCTGATTTTCAATTGGAAAATTAGGGTTTCTCAGTGGGGAATAAGAGTTAGGAATGGTGGGGATGAGTTTCATATGGTTGCAATGAGGTTTGGGAGCAATTTGGCAGATTTTCATAAGATTTTTTCATACCTTCCTCTTTGGTCGTGAGGGTTGGTCAATTGGCCAAGTCAAGGGGTCTAAGGTGGTGCTTAGCTGGAGGAAAGATAAGGGCAAAAGTCTAATGGAGGTGAGCCACATTGGATAGGCTTAATTTTGGGTTTTGGCTCATGGGTGGCTCTCGGGTTTGGGCTTGCCACCGTCCATGGTGGCCGGTCAGGCCATGGGAGGTCACCATCTGGCTGTGGGAGGTTAGGGGTGTAGAGTTGTGAAGCCAATTGGGTCCAATCATAGGTAAGCGTGTTGAATTAAAAGGGAAAGTGGTTTAGGTCAAATTGGGTTTGACTTGGGTTTTAGTCATGAAAATTGGCTTGGCACATTTCTCATGGTGGCTTGATGTGGTGGTAAACATTTGGATTTGGGTAGTCAAGTCGCCGTCATAGAGATTAGGGCTTAATCATGGGTTAGAGTGAAGCATGGGTATGATTAAGTGCTTTTAGGGAAGTTTGAAAGGGGGACCTCCTTTAACCATAAATTGTATGGTGGCTCACATGAGGCTTGTGCATAACTTCCATTTGGCTTAGATGAAGCCACTTGGCTTGACTATTGCTCATGCATGGCCTTCATAGCTTGCATTAAAGGAGGCGGGTGAAGATTTCAAGCTTTGAAAGGGTTTTCATGAATTCTAATTTTGGGTTGGTTAATCATAAAATTTTGTGCTTCAGGTTTAATCAAATTGATCAATGTAAGGCTGATTTTTCTCATGTGGGTTCAAATTTTAAGGATTTGGGAATTGGGTTTAGATTAGCGGGCTTTTGAAATTACGCATGCTGGGCTTTTGAAACTAGGTTAATTTTGGGCTTGGTTTTTTGGACATGGATTTGATGCCATTATGAATTAATCATGGGCTTAGTTGAGTTTAGAAATCACCAAGATAAAATTTGGTGCAATAGCTTGGTGAAATTGAATTTGGCATGTGGGTTCAATTTTGATGGATTTTTGGAGTAAAGTGGACTTGGGAGGAATTTTATTTAATTTTTGGTAAGTTTGGATTTGGGCTTGAAATTGGGTGGGGTTGGATTTGATTTTAAATTTTGGTGAATTTAGAGTGGACTTGGTGGCTTAGATTGATTTTGCTTGACCTTTAAGTGAAATTGGAGATTTTAATAAATCTGGGTAATTGGGATGGAGAATTGGGTAATTTGAGTATTTTGAGCAATTTGAGATTTTTTTGAGGAGTTTGACAAATTTATGTGGATTTGAGGTGCATTTAAGTGGAAATTGGGTCATTTAGGAATTTTTTGTAATCTTGGGGAAAATTTTGAAGAATTTGGCAACTTTAGATTTTGGGTGGATTAGGGCTGTGAAAGTAGTGATGGAGTGTGAGGTGTGGTGATGTGAAGTGGTGAAAAGGGCATGGTGGATGTGGTGATGTGAATATGTCAGTGAGGAGTATGAGTGTAGTGCATGTGTGAGTGAGGTGAGTAGCTAAGTTAAAATGGGTTTTCTTAGGCCTTCATGTTCCTATGTGAAGTCTTCTTTGAGCTTCCTCATGTTGGTCTAAACCAACTCAACCAAATGTTGAGGGTTTAAGGCCACCAATGAGTGACTTCATAAAAGAACCAAGAAGTGGCTAGAATTATTAAGTGAGGTGGGTCCCATCACTACTCTTCTAAGATACTCAAAAGGAATGTCCTATGGCTAAATCCTATGTTCTACGAGAGAAACTAGACCTCACCAAAATGATGTCAACAGTTACGCAACACCTTATTAATGAGCTCCAACCGCCCCAAATAGACCTTACATCTCAAGACATACCTTTATTTAAAACTCCAGTTTCATGAAGTGTGAATGTATCTTTTTGTGTGCTAAGTAAAAAGTGGCTTTTTTAACAACTTATTGAGAGAATTTTATCATGAAATTTTAGAAGCAGAAAAAAGTAATCCCCTTAAGGTCAATAGTAGTTGAACGATAGGAAACGATCCATGGTTTGCTATCAGCTTACTCATAGCTCTATGCTAAATGAAGTGATAAGCCTTAAAGGAGTGATACTCTATATGTGAAATGGTCAGGATGGTGGTACCTTGGAATGTCCTCTAGCTAGGTGTTGGGCAGCTACTAGCTACTTATATTGGTTCGAAGAAGAAGTAAGTCTGAGGTTGTTCTTGCATGTACAGGAAGTAGGAGGAGAGGTTTCGGTCGCTAGTGTACATGTGCTATCAGAGAAAGCAAACATGTCTTGAATTGAATGCTGGTGAGGAAGAGCTTGGCTTCTGGCATGCATGCTTGATTAAGTTATATGAGGCTGAGAGGGGTAATTTTTCTCCATTGTTTAAGGAGTTTGTGGAAATGACAACAGATAAGAGGGGATTTTCGCTTGGGATGTTTCCACACGACAATGAAACAACCATGGGGTTACGATGAGGTAATGATGTTGGCATGGTATTTTTAATGTGTTATAAAATTTGAGTGTTAGGCGAATAAGTAATAGTTTTAGGGTGTTAGATATATAAAATATGAAAGTTTAAGTGTTATGTATGTAAACCCCCTATTGTATTTTAGGGTGCTAATATGGCATTTGAACCGATGCTTTCAAGTTGGCACAATCAAACAAGTGATAATTAACTGATCAAAAATATGGCATTGGGCTTAATGGTTAATCTTGATTCATTCCGGCGAAAATTTTAAAAATGGATCATAAGGATGCTAGATTTATAAATTTGAGTTCTGCCAAAAATATAAAGCAGCACGTGAATGATAAGTGCAGCCGAATACCTAGCGGCCAGTCCAATCACCTTTCCGGTTAAGAACTCCTCAAGGCATCATGACCCCTTTTGTCCGCTCCACTAGGGAGCTCTTCCGCGGGTTCTCCAGCCGGGCGTTCGATCCACCGCCGGTGAGTCTTCGCCGCCGTGTCGTTGTCACCGGACTGGGGATGGTCACACCGCTAGGGTGTGGGGTGGAGACCACGTGGAGGCGGCTCTTGGAGGGTCGCTGCGGCGTTCGAGAGCTATCACCGGCTGATCTCAGGATGGAAGGTTTCGATGAGGCCACTGTGATGCACACATACGAGCAATTGGCGTCCAAGGTTGTTGCCGCAGTTCCCTGTGGCAAGGAAGAAGGTGAGTTCGACGAGGAGAGGTGGCTTCACACAAAGGTACGTAAACTAAAATTAAATATTAAAAGTTGGGTTTTTGAAAATTGTTCTCCAAAATTCTATTGTTTATAGATTGTTTATTATCTGAAAAAAAGTTGTAAATTTTGCTTCTGATGTGTGTAAGATTTGAGGCGGTAGAGTAATGAATTATGATTTTAGTTTTGCATGAAAATCCATCACACTCGGATAATTAAAGAGAAGGAGGTGATACCTCGATTTTTTACATGGAAAACCTTATAAAACAAAAAAATCACAGAACCTAGCCTAGTTGAAGCAATTCATTATGAATGGTGAGTACACATGTTCACTATTCTCTTGAATTAGAGAAAATAGAGTTATAAAGTCATTGTAAATGCACAACTATGGTTTGTTGATAATATCGTAATTTGGCGGTAATGAATGCAGTTCTTAGCGATATAAAACTGTAAGGGTCGTCATCGATTGCTATGGAGACAATAGTCTGACTTGAATGTCGTAGATAGTGGTTGAGCGCCAACTTGTCGTATTGGCCATAGTTAAAAGCCATGGTAATAGTTGGTCGTGTGGATCGCAGATGATTACTTGGGAGCGTTGGTTGGCTACAAAGTCCGTGGTAGAAAATTGCAGGAGCTGTGAGCAACGTAGGTCGTAGTTGGTTGCATAGGTCATACTAGTGAGCTATGATGACGTCCATAGGTCGCATATGACACAATTAATAGCTGCATAAGCTGTAAGCCACATAGACTGTAGTTAGTCATTTAGGCTATAGTGGTGAGTTGTGACAATCTTTGTTAGTCGTAGATGCCAAAATTGAGAGTTGCATGAGGTGTGAGTTACGTGTGTTGTATTTGGTTATATACTTCATAATTGTGAGCTATGATGACGTCCATAGGTCATAGAGTTCGAAGTCGGGAGTTGCATGAGCAGTGAGCCGCGTTTGTCATGATGGTTGGCTGTGATGACGTCCGTAGGCCGTAGGGGGTCGTGAGTTGCACAAGCTATGAGCCATGCAAACTATGGTTGATCATGTAAGTTGTACCGGTGGGTTGTGATGACTTCTGTTGGCCTTAGAGACTGGTGTCGGGAGCTGCGCAAACTGTGAGCTAAGTAGATTGTAGTTAGTCACACAGACCACAATGATAAGTTGTGATAATGTCGATAGACTGCGAAGGCTGGAGACGGGAGCTGCACGAGTACACCGTCTTAGTGGTGCGTCATTGCATGGTGTATTGAACGACATATTGCTCCACCAAGCGATTCATCTTTCCGCATTGCATGTTGGGATTTTGCAATGCACATTAGCACTCTGGTGGTCGATGGTGGCTGGTGGGCCGAGATAATAGTTGGTCGGATGCTACGAACGGAGTTGGCTAATGACGTTGGATCATCCTAGAAGTGGACTGTGAAGCACAAGCATTTGGAAGTGTCGTTTATGTCCATGTCGAACGCTGACAATTCCTACTTTTGCTTCATAGGCTTAAAATTATGTTTATGTATTTCCAATATAAAGAGTTTCTCATGGATTAGATACTTGCCTTCACACAAAAGCGCTACATATTGGACACGTTTTAGGTATTTCTAGTTCAATGCTACATTTTTTAATAAATTGTCTTTTATGATTTTGTTTGAGCAACTGCATTTTGGGGATGCAACTGACTTGTTTCTTGATATCAGCAGTATTTAATTTAAATGATTAAAGCAATAGGATTTTCTTTTGTCCTTTTATTGTTATTATTATTATTTTTGGGTGTCTTATTGATCTTTTTCTCGCACTTAAAGGAGCATAAATCCGTGGCAAGGTTTATATCTTACGCTCTATGTTCTGCTGATGAAGCTCTTGGAGATGCAAAATGGTATCCAGATGAACAGGAGAGAAAGGAGAGAACGGTATTTAGTTTTATTCAGTTAATTTTCGCAGTTTATTTCATCCTGCACTTTTATTGCTTACTTCCTGTTGTAAAAGTTGTCAGGGTGTTTCCATTGGTGGAGGCACTGGATGCATATCTGACATTTTAGAAGCAGCAAAACTGATTTGTGAGAAGGTTGGCTATCATTAGTTGCATCTGGCTCATTACGTTTCTTTTAAGTGTTGTCTGTTTCAATCCCATGAGCATACTTGACTTGTAAGAAGGCTCACATCAGGTTGTCAAGAAATGTGATATTTAAAAAACCTTTTAATAAGAATCCTGTTCATTTTTTTTTTCATTAAATTTCTAAGAGTTTGGTTATATTATTTAATAGTTTTATTGAGTTATCTAATATTTTTTTTTTTTTTGAGATAATATGTGCTACATAAAATTAAGTAAACATGTCAAAAAACAGCCCCATCCTGATGCAAAATGCATCAGGATATCCTGATAAAATTTTCTTTCTATGATATTTATGAAGTTTGCATGCAGCGAGTACGCCGACTTAGTCCCTTTTTCATCCCCCGAATTTTGATCAACATGGCAGCTGGTCATGTTAGCATTAAATATGGGTTCAGGGTATGTTAAATTCTTCATCTTTTTTATTATGAAGGTCTCCAAATCTAGCTTTTGCTTACCTACAAAGTTATTTTGATATAGGGACCAAACCATGCTGCTGTGACAGCTTGTGCGACAGGTGCTCACTCCATTGGGGATGCTATGCGGATGATTCAATTTGGTGATGCAGATGTTATGGTTGCTGGAGGAACAGAGTCAAGTATTGATGCATTATCAGTCGCTGGATTCTGTAGGCAAGCAGAAAATTTTTTATAACTGTGCTAAATCCGTTTTTTCCTTGCATTTTAAATTTACCTGACATAAATGATTGTTATTTCATCATAATCGAGTTTAAAAATGTACAAAAGAACAAATGGTGCAATATTTTCTTAAGGCTGCATATTAGCGATTTTGTATTTGAAGATCAAAGATTTGGTAGGTATAGCTTCGTCTTACTGTAAACCTTACTCATATACTGCTTCAAATTTGGGCTGAATCATGAACAATATCTCATTTTCAAATTAAAAGGGACGATTCATAATAACAAATTCTAATCTACTAGAGCTTTGACAGAACCTGAACCATTATCAATAAATCCAAATGGATTGTGACAAGGATGCTACACTACTTCAAAAGTTTGTTGAAAAAGTGCAAATTTATATTTTTCTTACTAAATTAAATGTTGAGGATTTTATGATGTAAAGGTATAAATTCTAGAAAGAAGGATTTACTTTCACTAAATGAATTTATTGTTATCATTCAAATGAAAGAATGGAGAAGGGCAGTCATGATTATTAATAATTGAGTTGAAGATTCAACCTTAGTAATAGTAGCTATTAACAACAATTATTCTGATTCAGAACTCTCTTATCTCGAGGAACGTAAGCAACCAGGCTTAACAATAATAGTCAATAAAGATTTTTTATTACGCATACGACATACATTATCAAAAAACTCTATTTATAAAAGAAAGTGTGGAAGCTTTGTAAAAAATTGTAAAAAACTATAAAGTAAGAACTAGACAACACAAGAATGATAGATAAAGAACAATGTGTAGAGACACACTCACAGATATATATATATATATATATATATATATATTGCCTAAAAGGAATGACCAGCTAACAATTCGGTAACCACCTTCTTAAGGCCAACTAGATCAGAGGGGATTTGAACCCCCGACCTGAGAGGTCTTATACTATGGATGTCAACCAATAGGCCGAGTCTTTTTCCATTTTACTCTCCCATATTTGTTTATTTATTTATTTATTTATTTAATTAAAGAGCAACTTGTGGTTCCTTACGCGTTAATATTAAAAGAGATTACAAAATAGATGTGGGATAGTGGATCCCATCTAAAAGCAAAGTAAAATACATCATGATCCTAGGGGTTCCACCATCCACATTACAACTCCACGCAAAAAAGTTAAAATAACATGTGTATTTAACTAAAAGTATACTAAAATAAAAAGTATACCCAGAAATTGCATGTATACCAAAACTAATTTCAACAGTGAAGAAGTAGAGCAAAACAGAGTTGTGGCTACTTTGTCCATTGAGATCAGCAACAAAAAAGATCGAACCCTGCAAACAGCAATGTATCTCTCGACCAAAACAAAGTGGGGCTGCCGCAAGAAAAGCTCAACGAACCAGTGAAAGCAATGTAAGCAAAGATAACACTGTGTATAAATCAAAAGTAAATAAGTCAGCAGAATCATCTCAAGATCAATCTCCCAATACTCAGTAAAGAGTAGAAGCAGAAAGGGATATTGTCAAAATTTCAGTAATCCAGAATGGCCTCAAGTAGGTCCGCCAGTAACACCCATAGTAGCCATAATAACATATAGGACGAATCCAAGGCAAGCCAAAAATGTAAAAGTGTCCAACATAGACAAAATATGCCAAAAAATCTTCCCCACAGAGGACAAATCTTGGCAAAAAAGGCCCAAACAGCAAAAGGAATCCGGAAGAAGTAACAATATAGAACATAAGAAATACAAGAACAACATCACCCCAAATAAGCTGGCCAGAGGATAAATTGAAGCTAAGCAAAACCAAAAATAGGTCAGTATCCTGCAAACACAGTCCGGACCGACAGAGGCAACCATCATTCATCCAAAAGGCAAAGAAAATCACTATTCCAGCTAACCAAATTCTGCCACAATATTCCCAAAACAGAAACCCAAAATTCAAGTGACTGTGAAGCACAAGCATTTGGTTTCCTTATCAACTCCCAAAAATCCAGGCAAAACAAGAGATCCAAGAATACATTTAAGACCAATATCCAGGTAAGACAGGCTTGTGCAAAACAATCTTCTAGCATCCATCCAAGTAAACATAGACATAGAAAAACCACAGCCCTGAAAAACCAATCCAGCAGTCCAAAGAAAAAACTGCCACATTAAGCCCAATACAGAGACCAAAGATAAAGGAAAGTGAAGCATAATTAAAATCTAATATAAGGGGCTTCCAATAAGTCACTTTGGATAAGAATGTGCAACATAGGAGGGGGAGTAACCCCAACAAAAGCACTTTGCACTCTCCATTTTGCCAGCCAATCCGCAGATTGGTTCCCTTCTCTATAAGTAAATGAGTAAAGAATATTAATGTGCTGCATATCAATATAATGCCAAATCCTTCTCATCAGTGAAATATTATACCAAGCAGGTTTAACCTTAGCCGTTAGCATGTTAAACAAAGTTTCAGAGTCAATTTCCAGCACTATGTCATTTAAATTGAGAGAGACAATAGTTTGAAGTGCAGCAAGCACTGCATTTGTCTCTGCCTCCAGAGAAGAAATAACAATACAAGTGGAGGCCAAATAAGTAATACATTTACCACAATGATCTCTAATCAGCACTCCCATACCTGTATAAGCAGTAAAATAACTCTAAAAGCGGGTTCGGGGGGGGGGGGGGGGGGGGGGGGGGCATTTGATCAAAATGGATTTCCTACTCCTACCCATAGTAGAAGCCTGACCATTAGTTAACTTCCAAGCCTTGCGAAAATGAGCCACTGCTAAAATAGATATGGTGGAGGGAGTGTGACATGAAGTTTCATTTTTTTTACTATTCCTAGCCCTCCAGATGATCCATAGGACAAAAACAGAGAAATAAAAGAGATTTTTGAAAGAAGGATCAAAATTCTTCCAAATCCCCATGACAGATTTCAGCGTCAAGTGCAAGGGCCAAGTGATACCAAAGTAGCACCCAATACGTTGTCAAACCTCTTTAGCAAATGGGCAATAGAAAAACAAATGGTCAATTGATTCAACATCCTTTTTACAGTTATAACCCTTTCAGCTTAAGGATATCATCAAGAGGTAGAAGTTTATGAAAATATCTCCAAAGAAAAAAGGATATGGAAGGAGAAATATATTTATGCCAAGTGTAAACATGTCATTTCCAAGGAGTAAAATAGTGTAGTTTTGAGTAGAGCATTTTAGTAACATGGGATCTAGTTTGATGCTTGTAGAGGGGAACATCCTTATTATGAGCTCGAATAGGGATAACAGCAATAGCAGGTGCTAATTCACCAACTAAAGAATTCAGCAGTGCTAAATTCCAGACACCATCTATCCAATAATCAGAAACAAGCAGTTTAGAATCATAACCCGAGGTTTGCATAGTAGAAAAAGAAGCACCCCATTCATCATTTCTGAAAGAAATACCACCATCTCCAATGTCCCAAAAAATAAAATGAGAAGCAACGTCACGTGCAGAGAGAATGGCCTTCCAAAGCTTAGAGTCCCCCACTCTCTAATTAACCATAGATGGATGTAAATTCTTACAATACTTATGAAACATAAACTTAGCCCAGCCCATAATGACTCCCTCAAACAAAATTGACAAGCAGTTTAGAATCATAACCCGAGGTTTGCATAGTAGAAAAAGAAGCACCCCATTCATCATTTCTGAAAGAAATACCACCATCTCCAATGTCCCAAAAAATAAAATGAGAAGCAACGTCACGTGCAGAGAGAATGGCCTTCCAAAGCTTAGAGTCCCCCACTCTCTAATTAACCATAGATGGATGTAAATTCTTACAATACTTATGAAACATAAACTTAGCCCATAATGACTCCCTCAAACAAAATTTAAACAAAAGTTTGCAAATGTTAATATCAATAGTTTGCTGAAGAGTTTTAAACCCAAGCCTACCGGCACAAAGAGACTTGCAATTATACTGCCAATTAGTCCAACTCTTAGAAGATCTAGAGCCCTGCCAAAGAAATTTGTTGAAGATAATTTCAAGATTCTTTTGGGTGTTTTTCTTAGTTTTGAGAACTTGTATAGAGTAGAGAGGAAGTGTACATGAGACACTTCTCAACAAAGTGAGCCTACCCCCATTAGAAAGAAAAGAATTTTTCCAGTTATTAATCTTGAGTTTAACTTTATCAATCACATCATCCATCTGAGTTTGCTTAGTTCTGCCTCTAAGAATGTTGTCCCCAAGGTACTTAATAGGAAGCTTAGAAATTTTACAACCAGTGAAATGAGAAGCCCAAGCATGGGTGTTAGAGGAAACACCTTTGCCAACATAAATGAATCACTTAGCCAAGTTAAACATCATATCAGATATGTTTTGGAAATCTTTTAATATAGACATGGTAGCTTTAATGGCACTTTTGCCGACATTTAAAAATAATATAGCTTCATCAGCATATGCAAGGTGACTCACCATAACTTTTGATATATAAAAGAATTGAAAATGTGAATGCTCATATTGCAGCTTATTTATGAGTCTAGATAGGTAATCAAATGCAATAATGAAAATAGTAGGGGAGAGGGGATCTCCTTGCTTAATGCCCCTGTTAGCTGAAAAGAAACCATGGGCTTTACCATTTATCATCACACTGTAGCTGTTATTAGAAAACCACATCTGAATGAGAGAGCAGAACTTCTGTTTGAATCTTTAGCCTGCAAAATATTAATAATAAAGTCCCAGCTAATAGTATCAAAAGCTTTCTTAATGTCCAATTTAAGGACCATATTCCCCCCTGCGCTTCTTGTCCAAATCTTCAATCATTTCCTGTGCTAAGAGGATATTATCAGTAATATCCCAACCTTTAATGAAAGCCGACTGCTGGTCAGCAATGATATGAGAAAGGTGAGGCTGCAGTATGTTAACTATAATTTTACTCATAACTTTAGATATCATAGTAGTAAAAGATAGAGGACAAAAATTGTCCCAGGAAATCTTATCATTACCTTTTGGAATGAGTACAATCAAAGCAGAGGTGAAATATTTACCAGGGTTATCACCATGGAAGAAGCTTTATATGGTCAGAGTAACCTCGTTCTTAATAACCTACCATGTATGATTGTAGAAAACTGAAGGGAAATCATCAGACCCAGGAGCTTTGTTGGGACAAATTGTTCCCCATGATGACGTGAGTCAACCCTTCTAGAAGATCTAGTAGAGTTAACAAATTGTTCCCCATCAGAGTGATAAATTCCTTCTTGAATAATGTTACTAGCATCCAACCTAGACAGTTCATTACTGCGCTTAGCATTTTTACGTGACTGCATTTGCACCTGCCACTCATTGTCTAATGTTATAACAACATTAGATAAAGAATTATTAATATCATCAATATCAGAATTAGCCCCAACAATAGGAGGGTGAACCGTATTGCTATGGGGAAATAAATTTTCATTATCTGTAATGTTATGATCCGCAAGTGATGATGTTTTGACAGGCTTCTCAGAAGCCACAATAGCACTGTGTTCATTACAATTTTCAGTCAAATCCATACCTTCCTTAATTTGCAAGTGTTGAAGATTAACATTCGTGTTATTATGTAAGTCTTCAGCACCTAAAGCATGCAAATTAGAAGTAGCTTTAATAATAACAGGATTATCAACTAATTCAACCGCATTTTCAACAATAGTAGGGATATCATGTTTTTCAATATCATTATTGGTAACATGTAAAATATTATGTGTTGCATTATGAGAGTCTCTAAGTTGATGGTTCAAGCGAAAGCAAGATGTGGTTTGGTGTCCGAACATAGAGCAGTGAGTACAGTAAGGAGAGTATCGTTCAATTTCAACAGACTGCCAATAACCTTGGTATTGCGATCATATCCAAATTTCATTGCAAAATGACTGTGTTATATCTCGTTCAACAAGAATCCGTGCTTCAGATGGTCTAGACAAAGTATAAGTAGCTTGATTCATTTTTAAAGACTTGCCATAAGCAGCAGCTAGCGAAAATAGAATTTCATGATTAAAAAGATGGAGTTTAAGCCCCGAAAAACGTATCCAAACCGGTATTATAGGCAATTCTGTGTTAAAATCAAAATTAATTGCCGAAATTTTATCCTACTGTTTTCTATACGCATAAACCGTTTTGCAAAGAGTCTTGTGTAGTCCTCATCATTTGCCAGTTGTATAAAGAAATGTTTACCATCAATGATGCCAACCTTCCACCAGCCTTTAAGTTTTAACATTTCAAACTCTTTCCTGATTAACTCTACTTTAGGGATATCATACATATAAATTTACCCACAAGGGCAAAAGACGACATGAAGAGGCAAGGATAGAAGTTTCATCCTGCGTAACAAACAGAGCAAGCTACCCGTTTTTTTTCCCCAACTTCTTAATGAGCGTATAATCCCCTTCGACAGTGTGTGTATCATGAAAGCCTTGTGGAAACCTTCCTGTGGTGGGAGTGGCCGAGTCACCCTTCATCCAAAACAACTTCAACAAACGAACGAGGGACGGGAGGCATGACGAAAAACAAAAGGAGAAACGAAGAGGGGTAAAGGAAAGATCTCATCAGCGAAGAGGGAAAACAAAATCGCTATGAATGCCAGAGCAAACCCTAGCCGCCGCTG